TGTTTGAACTGTTATCTGGCTAAGAGGAATTTCTGACAAGAACTAATTCTTGGGTCCCCAGTGAGTTCTTCTTATCAGGTATGCACTATATAAATAAATATATCCATAGAATTTCCTTACAGCCTCTCTTCACTGTTGGCATCATGACAACCCCTAGTCTGACCCATTTTTTCCCCAGTATCAAAGTTGGTTTTTAAAACTTAATAAATGTTGGGCTTGCCTTATAGACAGACAAATATGGTATTAGGTTGCAATTGTTGGGTTGTATGTGCTCCCATTTTCCTTGCATTTAGTTTTCTCATCTTAAATTGTGCTTTTGGTTACTTTTTGTTGTCTTCCATACTTTCCGGGAGCACACATGACAAGCAGTGTAATGTATCAAGCAAAAATCTAGCTTGCCAGTTATGGTTTTTTTTGGAGCATCAAATCTCATCACCCTTCCATATGTTGTGTATTTTTTGTACATAAAAACGTTTTTTTTTTGTGTGTGTACACTGCACTGTGCCTTCAGGGTTGATTTTTACGCCCATTATTTAAAATATATAAATGCAAAGTTGTTTTATGGTATCAGGTCGCTGCCTGAGTCACAAAGTTTTATATTAAATATGTTAATAGAAAATATTGGTGTATGCAATAAACACACATGTATAAGATAGGACACACTAGACGACATAAAATTGGAGGCTGTGGTTACAATGCCGGAAATCAAACATGCCACTGCCAAATAATGACAGCGCTTAGCTGCAGGAACAAGTTTGCAAAGACGCCAGACCAACTAGTCACCCCTTAAAAAAAGGGGTCTTCATTTGCTATCGTACAGCTTGAACCGATGACAATAGAAAGTATCCATCTAAACAGCACTGTGCGTTACAGAAATTCTTACTGACCAAGAAAATAAAGAATATATCAGACCACGGTGCTGTGTCTAGCCAACACTGAAAATTTAAAAAAAAAGTTTTTATTGGCCAGTTCCATGATGTGGCACGTAATACATATGTTATTTATCATTGTCCCGTAACACTACGTGTTGTTGGGTCACCAGTTTCTGTTGACTGTCTGCATCTTTGGTGGTCAGGTGCAATGGACCTTATGGTTGCATGCCCGAGGCCTGTCCAGTCAGTCTGGCACTGTCCTTCTTGGTCTGCCTCTTCTCCTCTACTGAGCCTTGCAGTATTGTTTTAGAGAGGCTGTTAGATCTTATTACATGTCCATACCATTGCATTTTTCGCCTTTATTACACTATGGAGATAACTGACAGGACAAGAGGTGATGTTGACATAACCAACACCACACAGTATGTGGCAAATGAAGATATCAGAAGTTTAAAAGAAAACCTTATTCAACAGGAGCACACAGGAGGGCATGCAACACAGAAAATTCAAGTGACATGTTTACTATGGGTCATGTACTGCTGGACACATCCCCCCCCCCTCCTTCCGATGAAGGGCTATTGTTGGATGATCTAGAAGAAAGTCAAACTGCATAATTAAAGTAAAACATCCGAGCATGCTTTCTTGTGGTGTGAATATGTTGGACAATCCTGCCATGCCTGTTTGTGCAAGAATCATTAGCACTGAAATTCTGCTAAATTTGTTGTTGCAACGTGGTCTTTATTTTTCCTGCCCTCTGACAGTTTAAAGGGATATCTGATTTATCGCGAATGTAGAAGTTTAGGTTTAAACTTAGATCAACATAATGGCTTAATACAGTAACCCAAAAGTGCTCCATTCAATTCAGAATCTTAAGAATATTAGCACGAACTCCGTACCACGGCAAGGATCCAATACTTTCTAACCCTACATGTTTGCCTGGGACGCACCATTAGGCTACTCTTGCGCAACAATACACTTGGACATCTAATCTCACTACCAAGAGACCAGGGAGAATTCTACGTGGGGGAAAAAAAATCTCAGCCTCTGCTGGGCGGGAACCTGGATGTATAAGTAGAATTACCACATAAGCTGTGCGATGCTTTCTGCTCCGGGCTGTCCCCTGAAGGTTTGATCCCTAACCTGGACAGCCAAGTCTAGATAACCTGTTCAACCTTCAGAGTTATAAATGGGGGTATCGGCAGTGGCTACTTTAGCCTGGTCTTACCTGCAATTTCTGTGTGAGTAGGTTTTTTTTTTTAACTGTTGGAAACCAGGAACACTTTTCTAAGTCAGGATTATGTGCATTTTATCCCCCATCATCTTGCTGGCTGGCTGGCTATTTTTGAGGGGGAATGAGTTCTGGTTCTTTCCTCTTTAGCCATTGACATTATTTGAACTCTTAATGTTTTGTCTACTAAGAAATGCACGACATCAGTCTGTAATTCAGTTTATTAATGTGCTTAAAAAGTTACTTTTGCACTCTACTATATTACAAGTTCTGCTTTCCTCCTGTCATTTTTTTTTCTGTGATATTTGTGGATGTGGGTTTGAAAATATTCATCACAAATTAAATGTTTCTTAAGTATTACATTAGCAAGTGTGTATTGTTAAGAGTTGCCAGAAATAAGTTGTGATTGTTCCTAATGCAGAATCAAGAATATACCAGTTACTGTACTAACTGTTTAGTCAGTACAGGGGTGAGTTGGGAATGTGAGCTAACTCCTATTTACTACACATACATAGCTAAGTTTTGAAGCAAAGAACCTAGAAGATCAGGAACTTGACTTTCCAGAGAAAGAATTAAGATCCACACACAATAAACAAGCTGCTATATGCAGACACTCAGCGCCTGTTCTACACCGAGAGAACATTTAAACAAGCTAAATCCAACATGCAGGAAGCATTAACACAGAAGTGGTGGAGAAATTCTACATTATCTGTGACCGGGCCTTTGGCAGTTTTCATGGCCTATCCGATCTCTCATAAATACTACACAGAGAATTCCTACCCTGTTCTGCTATTAATGCCTATAGCGTGTGTGTTTTTTTTATAAGTAACACAGGTTTGCATTAGTCATTCAAAATAAAAGCTATGTTTAATTTTGTCACACCTCTTGGTTTCTTAAAACACTCATTTTAGTTTCAGAGACAAGTCTTACCTTGTTTAAATATTAAGTGTTTTAGGTCAAATACCACCGCTGCCTTTGAACGATTGCACAAAAGTCTCACATCCACATGTTGCTACAGGAATTAAGCATGCTTGGAAAATTTTAAGTTTGATTTCTTGCTAGTGCTTAGCCATAGACTGACAGCAAATGTGATTGATGTATATAAAGATTGATAATGTCATGTACAGGTAACTATGACGGTGATGCCAGCAAGAACAAATTAGTCTTGCATTTAACAGTTTATTCTGTTTACTGTCTCATTCATGTTGGGAGTTTTTATTTGTATTACCTTTCACACAAGACATCGCATAATTTGTGTCATGTTAAATAAATATATATTGAAATTAGTGAATTTGTTCCTGCTTTTTTTCTCTCTCTCCAATGTGTGTACTATGTGTATCTGCAACACCCAGGAATCCAAGCAAATAATTTTTGAAAAGTGTACAGACCAGGGGTATATAAATCAAATGTAAATTACTTCAAAAATTTAGCATATGCTGAAACAGACCACAGACCAGCGAGATGGAACATCATGTCAGAATAATAAAAACAAGCTACAACAAGATATTAAAAAGCAAGTTGACACAAGCATATAAAGTGAGCTGAGACAGGATTTAAAACCTAGTCAGCATTTATTGATTTCACAGTTTTGACAGCCTAGGGGTGTTACACTAATGGTGTAGCTGGCTGCAACTGGTTATTCTGCAACAACAAAAATAAAGCAGTTAGATAAGAATCAAATACTGCCAAGAAACATCGCTATGAGAGTTTTGTTTAGCTGATTCTGGTTCGTTCATACACTTCTAACCTGTTGCGTGCACATCTGTTTCACAGAATTCATTTGCATGCAGACTGTTGGTTCCTTGCCTCTCAGGGCAGAGGTACTTCGATCTTTCGAAAGCTGCCATTCAGTCGACTCTTACGGCATGCTTTTGGGTAGGCAGTGGAGTTATTATTTTTATTATTTTCCCCACAGGCCCAGGGACTAATTCCCTTACCACCAAAAAAAAAAAAACCTTACATCCTGCATTTACTATTTTCGCAGTGTAGACAGTGGGGGAAGAGAATGTTTTTTTTTATTTTATTACAGAAAAATACCATAACCTCTGACCATGGATTTGAAGTTGTGTTTTCCTTATGAGCCAGAAATTGCCATAGCTTTTATTTATGCCTTTTATATTCGTGTCTGTAAGTTTATCCTCGCTAAAGCATAAAACATGGGCAGTATTTTAAGACCATATGTTGACCTTGCATCACACACTCTCGACCAACATGCCTTGTTGAATCCAAAGGAAAGGTAACGCCAGTACATTTCATTAATAATTACTGGCACCACAGAGAATGTATTAGAGCTCACAAAATAGAAATAGTAAAAGACTAAGAAAATGGAAAGAGATAATATGCAGGAAGTCATGCTAACACTTGTGTGCCACCAACTGGAAAGAGAAGTCTAATGACATGTACAGAAGCAGGTAATCTATTCAACAAACCCCAAGGGTTTAAAATGCTGAAGAATATCAAGATATAAGTCACACTTTAATTACGACAACATGGTGATGGATAATAAAAATGGAAAAATTCACACTGTACACAAATGACTGGCCGCGACCAAAATGTGTTCCCAAGCTATATATACAATTCTTCTTCGCGTTCACCAGCTGTACACTTGGCGGAAAGTTCTGGTTGCTCGTCCACTACTGAACCGCAGTCCTGCTCCAGAACCTGAGTGTTGCGTGTGCGTCAGTTTTACAGATCTCATTCTCTTGCATACAGACTGTTGGTTCCTTGCTCCTCCAGCAGATGCACTCCGACTTCATAGGAAGCTCCCCAATTAGTCGACTCTGACGACATGCTTATGTGGAGGCAGTGGGTTTATTCTTGTTTTTCCCACAATGGGACCCCAGAACCCACACGGGGAATATATACAATTTACAGCCAAAACAAGTAAAACCCACAAACCTCTAAGATGGCAGAGGTCCAAGCACTGGGGCAACAACAGGTTCTGCTGGTTTGCTGCTCTTGGCCTCACTGTAGGGCTGTGCTGGTGGGGCATCATCTTTAGGTTCCACAATGCTCACATGATCTGGCAATGGGCGGCGTGGTCCCATCTTGCCAGATGGGTCCCACGGAAGCATGATTTTCACTTTGATACCCAGTACACCTGTGGTGAGAAAAAAATACAATGTCATACATATATTACAAGGGCAATCTAGACAGAACAAAATGTACAACCGAGAGAGTACTCCATAATAAAATAGACAAAAGGCGATATTTTACTTTTCACAGCTACATTTGCCATTTTAGGGGAAATTCACACATTACCTTATCACTTTAATAAGAAGGGCCTGAAATTTTTGTTAAGACTTTAAATGTTCCTCAGAAAAATTGCTTAAACCTTGGACAGCCAAAATGGATAATTTAAATGATCGAAGAAAAGGAGGCAACTGCAAGAGAACTTAAGACCGTAAAAAAAAAAACAGAAATGTTAGTGACTGCCTATGCAGGTTCTGCATCACACCCAGCTTGTGATAAGAGTTTAATAAGTCTGAGTGCATCTGTCTGAGGCAAGGAACCCATAGTCTGCATACAACTAAGACATCTGTATAAAGAAAGTCCAGAAGTGATGAACATCCAGAGCTCCTCTGCAGATCACAGCCAGTGAATGCAAATCAACTGTTGACTCTCCAACACCTCCCATGGCATGGCATCAGCACACAAGTAGCTACATGATTTTAAGTTCACAAATCCAAAGACCACACCTTGACAGTTCACCAGCTGATCAAATAAACACACTCCTCACCTTGTCTGAGCAAGACGTGTCTGACTGCTGTATCCACGTAGTCATTGAGGGGGTCACCACTGTGAATCATGAGGACCGTCTGTGAACTTCATGGATTTGGCTCTCTGTCCCCTCAGTTTGCCGGAGACCACCACTTCACATCCCTTGGCCCCAGACTCCATGATGAAGCGCAAGACACCGTAACATGCCCTGAAACAAAGACATTGTTCAGTGAGGCGTGGCTAATTAAGTAACACACTGATTATCATACTAATATGTGAAACAGTCTCCGATATCTTAGTCAGTCTCCCTCCCCTTTAAGAGCCAGACCACCAAAATAAACTTACCATCACCTGAACATGATCGCTATAACCACATTCACTGTTCTTTAAACACCTGACTTACCCAAGCAAGGACTCAACACTATCACTTTAATATAAATGTGTGTAATGGATAATATTTGTAATTAAGCTTCCCAAATTTAAATTTCATTTCATCATGAATTTAGCATTTACACTTTTGTGTTTGCAGCTAGTATCTTTCATGGTAATGACTTTAAACATTTACACACATTCATTCTTATCTTAGCCACATGCCAACATTGTGGGTTAAACTGCATACTACAAATAAATCAATACTGCATTAGCAAAACGTTTTTTTTTTTTCTAAACTAAGGTTTTTACTCACCTCCTGACTGCCAAACCTCCAATCAGTTTGTACCTCAGAGACTCACACTGTGCAATAGCACAGAGACCTCGAGTAGCAACCTTCTCAGCATATAACTGCATTTTGAGAGCAACAGAAAAGAGTACAAATTTATTACAGAAACTACAGAAATGTATTCAAATAGGCTTAGGGCAGGGGTCATAGCTCTCCATGTCTGGCCGTTTGCTGCCACTTATTGATAGATCCTAGATGTTTATTAGGCCTGTGGTTGAGCCTTCTATGATGGTTTTTTACAGGATCTCTCTCGTCTTCCCCGTTTTTTCCCTAGATGGGCTGTTATCCATTCTGAATACTTTCCTTACAACACTTCCCAAAAAATTATATGGTGCCCAATTTATGAGAAAGTGTTGATCCACTAAGTTCAAAGCCTAGAACGCATATCCCTATATAACCTATTCCTATCCTAGTTGTAGGTAGAGACTAAAATATGCCTCTGCAAGTACAGTTCAAGGAAATTACAATTTCTTTCTCATCCTTAATTTGAAGACAGATGTCCTTAAAAAACATTATAATAAATAGTAATAATGGAATCCATTTAGGCCTTTCTTCACAAAAACGAAGTCCTAATATAAAAAAAAAAAAAATCACTTCAAACTAAAGAAAAAACCTTGTAGCATTAAAAAACTTAAAATCAAGTCACAGATTGGTTTTACCCTGAGGAAAAATCCTGACAGGTGAATAAATTTTGAAAATTCTACAGAAAATGTACTGTCAAGATCTGATCTGTGTTGTGCTTAGTTAAGGGACAAGCACATCATTAAGGTACCATAACAACAAAAGAAGTATTTATTGAGATGTATTGGGATGCTATCCCACCAAAAATAAAAAGGTAATTAAAGAAATGAGCAAAAATAAACCTACCTCGACAGTGCCCTCAGGGAAGTTAAATCTCTTCTGCACCACGGATGTCAGTTCACGAATGCGACGACCTTTCTCCCCCAGCACATTCTGGGTGCGGGTGGCAAGGATGATGATTTCTGTACGGGTTGGGGTCACTCGCACTTCGACACCACTGTAGCCATCTTCAGCCAACTCACGAGTTAAAAACTCATTGAGTTCAGCCTTGAACAAGCCATCAGTCACAAACTGGAACAAAGAATTGTATTATTATTATAACAATATCATTAGATGTAGACCACATAAGTCAGATGTTGGTCTTGGTAGGTGTTGCACTGACGGTGGTACTGTCTCAGATAATCCATCCCTTACATGGTCAACGTCTGGCTGTTTCCGCTGTCTTAGTGACACTGCACTCTGTAGTGCACTATCTTCTAGTAGTCTTGACAAATTTCTAAAACATTCGATAACTATACTTTAAAACTAAAAGAATTAAATGAAATCAGTGAATATATTCACGTGTTTCATAGTGTGCTGCTTGTTGCGACTAGAGTAGTTTTTATGTGCACTGTCAGCTTTTCCTCTTGTTTACTGGCTGAAAATTCCAACGGAAAGTCATAGCTGTTCATTTAGACGTTATGCTTTTACCTGGACCTTTGTGTACATGTTTTATTGACTTATTTGTGTGCTGTTCTCGTTCCCCGTCTCCCCGGCAGATGTACACAGACTTCGAGGGAAGCTTATCTCTAGCTGGCTTTGTTTAGTCTCCTCTTTGTCTCTTCATCTACAGGTGTTTGCCCTCCGAAGAATCCCCCTTTGGGAAACCCTACGTAAAATAGTCAGCCCTCAAGGAAAGTCAGTGGTGGACTTCAAGGAAAGTCAGTGGTGGGTCTTAGGCATACTCCATCATCCATGAAGGCTTCCATAAATGCAGACACATTTCGCTCTGGTTCTGGGCTCACCAAAGAATCGCCATGACCTGCCCCTGACTAGTTAACCTCACCCGTATACTGAGCTTGCAACGTCCTCCAGAGATAAGCAGGGAGCAGCCCGCAGGTACAGGACCTTTGTGTCCCTACATATACGTAAAAAATTTCCTTCGTCGCAGGTTAGACACCTTAGACAGTATAGAGAAGCGTGCTTCAGGCATGGGCTCAGCTGTGTGGTCCCAACACTCGGGCAAGTGGGACCAGTGGATAGATATTTGACATTTTTTTTATTGGTTTTTTGTTTTTCAATAAGCAAGATTTATAAAATGGTCAGACTTTAAGATTTGCTCTAGGATCTATCTTCGGCGGCTTTTGTAACAGACTGCTTGTATAACTTCTGGTGTGGGACTTAGTGCTGGCACATATGGCATAATTGACATGTCAGCGACAAATTAACCCTCTTAGCACGGACGGGCCGATTATCGGCCGGAGGATGTCTGGCTAAAAACACGGAACGGCCGATGATCGGCCCGATCGTGTTTCGCCTCGAACCGCTAAGAAATCTCCTACTTTGAAACACTGAAAGTGATTCATTTATATTAACTGCGGTATCAGCTTTACACATGGCGACTTTCGAGTGTTTGGTATCGAAGTGAAAATTGTTGTTGAATTTTTTAGATAGTGACCTGAACAGCTAAAAGTATGTCTAACTCGTATGTTTCTGCCCCTAAACTTGATGTTGATAAAACATTTGAATCAAGTGATGACACTAATTCTGTTGATACTGATGCAGGATTTAGTGTTAGTAGTAATAGTGGGAATCAGATGGAGACGCTGTTATGTTCAGACCACAGCCCAGCCATGGCTCAGGGTATATCCACCCGAAGGTGTTGACACTCCGACACATCCATTTCTAGTGCTGACTGATGGTGAAAAACATATGTCACCTAAAGATATTATTGCTGTTTCACATATATATACCTGTTTTTGACTTTTGAATTGCTTACAACATTTGTAAAAAGGCCAAAGATCAATAAAAATATTTCAAATAAAAAAAATTTTTGTTTTTAGTTTTGTTTCAAGCATTGAAGTTGAAAATTCAAATTCATATTTTCTATTTTTAGATATGCAAATGAGATAATTTGCATATACATCAATTAATTTTAACGATATTGTGAAAATCACGAACTACAATCTATATCCTTCAAATAGATATATTATTTCATAGGGGTCAGAATAACAGAAATCTGTCAAAAAAATTTAATAAAGTTATAACCAAATTCACTGAAAAAATGCTCCGTGTTTTTGGCTAGACCTCTGAAAAACTTCCCGTGCTAAAAGGGTTAATAAATGCAAACATATATGATGCGTAAGGAAAAATACAGACACAAAACATGTCTCGTACTTATACTATTGTACGGTTTTGTTAGTCCAGGTGTCCGTGTTAAAAGTTCAACCTGAACTGAGTCCTTGTTTACATACTTTAAAAAAATTGCTATATTTTGCGATCCTTAATAATTAACAGTAATATACACAATCATTAATAAAGTTAAAAGTTGTTAATGCATTAAATAAGTCAAATTCTGCAAATTTACTTCAGAGTAATGGGATATTAACTGGATTATTTAAGGTACTTGCCTTTCGCTTCTTAGATTGCTGCACCGCCATGTTTGAACAAAAAGGAAAAGGAAATCGCAAAACCGGAACCTGTCATAGACACTTTCTGCATTTAAAAAGTTAATTGCCAATCACGAAACAAATAATCAAACTCCATTTTCCCCTTTCAAGAAAATATTGAAATGTATTTCTAACATCATAGACATCAGAAGGAGACAGTCATCATTTTACGGCCATGTTCTGAGAAGAGGGAAAATAGAACATGTTGTGACCACTGGAAAGATCTGTTGAAAGAGAGATAGAGGAAGACAACGAGAGAAGATGCTTGGCAGTCTTGCTGCATGGCATGGAGGTGTGTCGGTACACGAACTGATACATGCTGCAGGAGATCGCAGATTATGGAGAGGCATGATCGCCCAGGGCAGTCGGCAGGGCACCTGATGATGATTTCCAACACAGGCTATTTGCTTTGGCAGTAAGTAGTTTGTCATGCAAATCTTGCTGCTAAATGTATATATTGGTATCGCTGTCTATCCTTTAGCTCCAGGCCTAAAAAAGATCACTGAGATTGGCTCAAAGAATAAGAGGAAATCCTGGCAATAGGCTTCTCACTTGTGGGGATTTTAATGCGCGGAACAGAGGTTAGGATAGTACGAGGGGGGGTAGAAAAAGAAATATTCTAGCAGAGGCCATGGTGGGCGCACACAAAGTCAGCATAAACGACGATAGGCCAGCTAGAATGGCAATGAGACCTGGTAATGCAGACACAGCTTCTTCCTTGCGTTCTAATGGAAAGTTCTGGTTGTTCATCCACTTCTGGACTTCAGTCCTGTTCCAGAACCGCTATTGCAAATGCTAGACAGCAGTCTGTCAATCTTTCCACAAGGGGCTGTGATAAACATTATGTGTTTTTCTATGGCTCAGGAGCGGGGCAACTATGGGGTGACCAGTTTGCTATGAAGCTGAAACTAAGATTACCACATTACCAGAATTCATCTGTCCATCCCTTCATCCGTCCACCCATCTGTCAATTTAAACATCATTCCACGATCCATTTAACTTTCTATCCATCATCACATTATCTAACCTACCCCCACCCCAGCCCCCACCTATTCAGTGCATCTATCCATACATCCAACAAGCATCTAAATATGCATATGCCCATTCAACAATAAAAATAGCCATCCATTCAACCATCCATCAGTACATCCATCCACTATCCATCCATCTTTCAATCCATCATTCACCTGTCTGCCATCCAACAATCCATTATCTACCGATGAGTTATCCATCCACCGATCCATTCATGAAAACAGAACCAACCAAAAAAAAAAATGGCCACGTTCAACCGACTGCGAGCAGTATTGGTTGTAATTATTGTCTGATTTCTGAACTAGTCGTCCCCATGTAGGCTGCACATTTTTTTTGGGAAGCCCCATCCTGGCTTTTTCCCTCATCAAAAAAAAAATACATCCACGGCGAGTGGATTTCGCAGTGGGAACAGTGCAAGAAGGGGAGGCACGCCTTTAGGACACTTGGGGAACCCAGCCTAAAGTCCCAGATCAAGGAACTCACCATAATTCCACTAATCAACAAACTCTGGAGACTAAGGCTGGGCGTCTGGAAAGACAAAACCAGCAGCCCTATGTGCACTGAATGCTGGGAGTACGACACCACCAAGCACTTCCTATTATCATTAAAAAAAACACGATAACGAAAGGAAGGAGCTGATTAGTTACTTCCAGGCGACAAACCAACAAACGGCAACCAAAACATGCCTCCAGGTCAAAAACTGCCCAGCTGTACAAAAAATGATTAAACAGTTCATAAGCAGAACTACAAGCAGGGACACGTATCTTGGATAATTATACCTGACGACCGACAATGATGCACTGAAGAGGAACCAGACAAGGCGACGACCAACCCAAGAATCCCGCTACGCTAGACTTAGCAAGCTATCAGTCTCCCTCAATCTCCCGACCTAACTTTTTTTTCCTAAAAAACCTTCATTTCACTTAGCACCCTCCGGGCATCTTCTCTATATTCTCCACTACATCTTTACCATGTTCTAAAAATTGAATGTTTATATGTATGCCATGCACATTTTTCATGTATCCCTTTTTTTTTCGCAAAAACACACACAATACAAACAAACGGCAACATTTGTAAAAAGACACGTACACAAATACCAACAAAGCAAAGCACGCAAACACTACACTGAACACACACGATTTGGAAAAAATAATAAAAAAATGGCCAAAACAGAAATGCTCGGCAAAAAAAAAAAAAGACTAACGCACAGGCACATGCATGATGCGAAAAAAGAGAGAGAGAAAGAGAGAAGGAGAGAGAGTCACACTGATATGTATATGATATTAGGGTTGAGGTTTTGAACAACGGGTCAACATCATGGCACACGAAGTAGTAGCTCAACAAAGTGCACAGCTTCTATAGCAGCGGCGAGGATCCTGAAATACTTTGGGTAGAGTTTTAACTCCAAATTCTGCCCGGACAACGCCGTTAGGGTACTCTTTTCGATTTTCAAATGCCAATAGATTTGTCTTTACGTGCGCAACAATGCACACGGGCGTCCGATCTCACTACACAGAGACCAGAGGGAATTACTAGAAATCCAAGTCCACGTGAAAAAATCCCAGCCCTTATCGGGCATTGAACCCGGCACCTCTAGCACTCGGGGCGGACACCATGTGTCGAGATTACGCAGCCCCTTGATGATGATAGTTGAAGTCTCACATTGAGTCTGTCCGTCATTTGTCGCAGTGTGGTCCAATTGTGTAGGTTTAGGTTGAGGGGCAGGCTCTGATGTAAGTAAATATCAGATTGCCCAGAACCCCGAGTTCAGTCTTTGAAGTCCAAAACGGTTTTATTCTCCCCTTTATGGCGTTACCCCGGCAGACTGTATTCCTGGAGGAAGGGAGACCATTGTGTCTCTCTGATGTTTTCAATTTTCTCTATACAGTGGAACCTCGCTTAACGAGCATAATTCGTTCCAGAATCATCCTCGTTAAGCGAAACACTCGTTATGCGAAACAATTTTTCTCATATAAATTAGTGTAAAAAACGATAATGCGTTCCACGTCGAAACAAATACTTACGAAATGCTATGTATAACATTTATTCAAAGACAAGTATCTACATATTGTTAAGGAGAGTGAATCTTCATGCTTTCTTATCCTTACGTCCTTTTTAGGACGTAATTTTTTGATTTTTGAAGCCCCACTCTGGCTTTTGCCAGGGGCCGCAATATAGGCAGGGTATAAATATGGCCAATCGTCTGAACGCGGTGATCCTCACCCACATGGTGGCACTTTGTGTCATCGGGTGTTTATCGCTTGTGTGATGTCCTAGTGGGGTAGAAAGTCAGTCAGTCAATTATCTTTTCTTTAAACGCCGAATAAATCTACCTGGATTTCGATCTGCAGAAAACAAAAGTCGAAATATTTATGATCAATAGCTAAATATTATTTTTTTTTTACTAGAAAGATGTCCAGAGACACGTGTGTTTGCCGACGCTTCAAAAATTGGCGAAAATGCGATAGAATTATCATTAAATAAATTTGCAACGCGCATAGCCGCTTCCTTACTAGGGTGATGCTTCTCAATGTCAGATGCAACAGTTTTCCATACTTTTAGCATTTCTCTTATTTCGCCAGAAGATTAATGCTTTTCTGTTACCACCGCCTTCTCCTCCTCCACACTTTCCTCCAAAACTTCTTGCTGTGAAACACAATACAACCCCCATAAGCTCTTTGGTGGTCAGCACTTGGCTGTGCTCTTCCACAAGCTCTTCGATATCACTGTTATCCACCTACAATCCCATGATAGTGGCCAAAGACACAATCTCGTTGACTACAGGTTCCACAGGTACTGTCTCGAACCCCTCAAAGTCACAAATCGACAACGCTCTCCGACCAAAGCTTCCTCCAAGAAGTTATGGTTATCTTGGTAACCCCTTCCCCCGCCTTATCGGTCATCTTGAGGCAGGCAACGATGTGGAAGTGATTTTTCCAAAACTCGTTGACAGTGAGGTTGGTCCCTTCAGTCACCTGAAAACAATGCTCGAAGAGTACTTTAGTGTGGAGCTTCTTAAATTTATAAATAACTTGCTGGTCCATGGGCTGGAGTAACGGAGTGATATTGGGAGGCAGAAACTGGATCTTGATGAACTTAAATTCTTCAGAGAGGCCATTTTGTAGGCCTGGAGGATTCATGTACATATATCACAATGTAGCACAAATTTGAGAAAATGTGTGATCACAAGCGACAGACGATGCTACTGGAACGAGTGCTAAACACAGACTGATGTAACATGCGCACAATCCGGGGCTTCCCCTCTCCTCGCCACTCGTTATGCGAAACGTCGCTCGTAAGGCAAGTCATTCTGTTACAATTTGTTTAGCTCGTTATGCGAATTACTCGTTATGAGAGGTGCTCGTTAAGCGAGGTTCTACTGTATGTCCTAACCATTGCATTCTACTAACCCTCATGATACCAAAGATTAGTGGTGATTTAAACTGATTAAATGCTGGATTATAAATTTCTGTGTTGCTTCTCACTCTGCGGTGTTTGAATCTTTGACGGACCCAAAGATTTGACATAGGACCCTGTGCAAAAACAAAAAAAACAAAAATTTAATAAAACTTCATGGCGTGTATTTGTATTCCATCTTTCCTACCCATACAGGATAAATGACTGACTGACTGACTTTCTACCCCACTAGGACATCACTGTTTATTCCAGTTTCGTCCTTTTTAGGACGAAATTTTTTGTTCTTTGAAGCTCCACTCTGGCTTTTGCCAGGGGCGACAATATAGGCAAGCCATAAATATGGCCAGTTGTCTGAACGCGGTTTCTGGGACCTCTCCACGGCGATCCTCATCCACATGGTGGCACTTTATGTAATCGGGTGTTTATTGCTTTTGTGATGTCCTGGTGGGGTAGAAAGTCAGTCAGTTAGAACATCACACAAGCGATAAACACCCGACGATACAAAGTGCCACCATGCGGATGAGGACTGTAGTTCTCTATAC